AGCATTCTCAAACTGTTCTTTCCAATTAGCTGCTTCAAGCTGGGCTCCCCTAGCTATTTCCTCGGCTTCATGGATGGATTTTTCAGACTCACGGGTTTTTCTTTCCAGAAGGGAAATTCTTCCCATCAATTCGGTACCAATGAGGTTAGCCTACAGAGACAACTCATAGAAATGAGGATTTGTAGATCGAAAATAAAAAACTTGTTGGTAAAGGAAAAATACCTTCAAAGTAGAATGAACTATGTCATTCATCAGAGTCAGGCAGCTGTGGCTCTCCATCTTCTTCTTCTCAATATCACCGATTAGAGGCTCGAGCCAAACATCAGCTCTACCAGTCTTTCTCAAAAGGCTATGGTTGGCAGGAACTTCAAGAGTAACACTTCTCATAGCCATGGTTCTACTGCTAGAACCCGCCTCTGTATGCTGAACGAAGGGAGGAGGAGCATGGAAGGTGGAGTAGTAGAAAAGGTAAACACAGCAGCAAGAGCCATAGGAGTCAAAGAAGGGATGGAAGGAGAAGATGAAGAAACCAACACAGGAACGGAAGTAGGTGCAGTTGAAACTGGCAAAGGAATGGAGGAAATAGGAATGAATGAGGAGAGAGGAGCTTCATCAAAAACAGGGCCGAGCTCGCCACTCTCAAAATACTATCAAAAAGACGCTGAGTTAATTCATTAGTATCTTTTGGCACGGTGTCCTCGTCAGAATAAATCAAAACAGACTCGGTGGATGAAGTTTGAGCAGGGGTATCCTCAATTTCATCATTATTAATGACTCGTCTCCTAACTCTTGGCCTGATAATTAAAGAGGTATCTTCCTCTTCCTCATTCTCAGAACTTTCTCCTATAGCTTTCCTTTTGGGAAGCAAAGCTCGAGCCTTGTTCAAATCAAGTGCAGCATTAGGAGACATGCGAATGGCCATAGCTACTTCAGCTGTCATTCCTCTAACACCAAATCCTGATCAAAAGAAGGATAAATAATCAACACTAAGAAAAAGGTGTTTAACATGTAAAAGGAAAAAAAACATGTAAAAAGGGACATACCATGTGTTTTCACCTTCCAGCCATGTAAAGATGAAATTGATTTCCATGTTCTTTGATCCTTAGGAGCAATCTTCAAAATTGAATCTACCCAACCACGGAAGTCAGGAATAAGTTCCACATCTCCCGTGGTTGCTACAAAAAACCAAAAAAGAGACTAAGTGAGAAAAAGAATCAGAATTCTCAAAAATAGGTGCGGTAAATAAAAGGAAACTTACGTGCAAAATTTCACTTCTCAGGGAAGGGAATATTTGTTTCACCAAGCAAGTCCACCGTACGTACAGCAACGTAACGGGTGTACCATCCACGATCCCTGTCATCTTCAGGGCTTACCAAAACCTTTTTGCTTCTTGCAGTTAAGGTAAAAACCCCATGGCGCATTAAATTGGGATGGTATAAATGAATAAGGTGAGAAAGGGTGAAGTCGACATTGGCTTTGGCAGATAAGTATCTCAGACAAACCACTGCTCTCCACACTAGGGGACCGACTTGGGCCAAACAGATTTTAAAGAAACGGCAAAAGTTAATAATGACTGGGTCAACCGGAGGATTAAAACCCAAAGTAAATGGGTAAGTATAAACGAAAGAATAACCATTTCTAAAGGAAGAAATTCTTTGATTTGGGGAAGGAATTGACATTCGTAGACTATTGCTCCAGTTACAATCCCTTCTGATGGTAGGGATTGTAAGCTCGGTTACTAATGAAGGATAAGTGTCAGCTTTTTCGAAATTTACAATTTGCCTTTGAAGAGACGTTCTATCACTCCCAAAAGACAAATCACTGGGAACAATTTCATCGACTAAAGGTTCTTGAGAAGAATCAAGGATTTCTTTACCTTTAGAAGAAGGGGTCTTCGGAATAAAACTCCCGATACTAGGAGAAGAAGAAGCAGGACCAGATAAACCATCACGAGCTAACCCTAGGCCCAAGCTCCGAAACCTACCTCCTCTGCCTCTCCTATGTCTTGTGGGGGCATTGGAGAAGTGATCGAGAATTGGAACTTTTCTAGGGTTAGGGTTTGGAGATGACATTGTTGAAGAAGGATGTACTGAAAGGGAGAGAAAATACAAGTAAGTAAGAAATTGATTGTTGAAGATCTATGAAGAAGAAGGTAAACGAAAGAGGGTTAAAATGCTTATAATGACAACTGTCAAACTTAGAAGTGCAATGAAGGAAAGCCTATAATAAAGGCAATTATCATTTAGTGAATAGTGTGAATGAAGAAGTCTCGAAAAAAGGGGGTAGAATTGCAGAATCAATCAGAAGGTGACACGTATGTAAAGCATTAAATGGAAGGGACAATTGAAGCGTCAGTATTTGTCATAATATTAATTACGGCAAAAAATCCCTTTTTATGAAGATCCACTTCCCAATTATTTACTAGATAAATAAATGGAAAGTGGGGGGACTATTTGTATTGGAAAAAAACTGAATTTACATTATAGGTAACGTGGCATGACACGTGGACTGGTCAAACGGTCAAAACACAATAAATAGCCAAGAGGCACGGGTGACAACAGATAAGGGAAAAAGAAAGCAACATAGGTGCGGACCGTTACTAAAATAGGTACGAGTCTCGTACCTATCCAAGTCATCTAAAGACCGAAGATCGGAAGAAGTTGAAGATACGAATCTGATGACGTAAAAGAGTTTAAATACAACATTAAATATCAAATACGTTAGAATATTTGATTTAAAAAGAAATGATTGTGTAACGTTTCTTTTAATGTCATTTATTGCTCATAATTGCCTCATTAAGACAAAGGCATTACATCTTCTCCTAGGATTAGCTATAAAAGGAGAAGAACTCACCATCTGTAAGGATACGAAATACTATTGGAATCTTACTGAAATACAAAATTATTTACTGCTTTACCATCATTCTCAAAAATATTTTATTTCCGTCTCCTGATTATCAGTAACCCGAATTTCTTTTTAGCTTTGATCAAAGACTCAAATTTTTGGTTGAACACATAGATCTTTGACATTTGAACATTGCTACATTTATGAGGAAATTGAGATTGCACAACAATCTCCTCTTTTAATCATCATAACCTTCTTATTTTACTATAAGAATCACAAGAAATATTGCATTTAAAGTAATAATATAATACGATACTCTAAATCGAGAATAGAATAGCTCACAAAGGATGGGCTTTGGCTAAGGTGAAACCAAACTTTTCCTCCATATTTATGTCTTTTGGTGCAATTCCTATTTCGAGCTCCCAATTGAAGGAATTCAATAGCGAGCCCAACATTACTGGAACCATTCTTAATGCCATTGGAAAGCCCGGGCATATTCTCAACCAGCACCAAATGGAATCAATTCAAAATCTTTCCCTCGCATATCCACATCCGAACTCCAAAACCTCTCAGGTTTAAACACTAAAGGATCCTCCCAAGAAGTAGAATCTCGACCAATCGCCCACACCTTTACTAGTACTTGTGACCCTTTCAGGATGATGTAGTCACACAGTTCAACATCCTGCTCCACTTTACGTAGGATTAAGAACGGAGCGGGTGGGTGCATTCTTAAGGTTTCTTTGATAATGCATTTCAAGTAAGGAAGTTGGGAAACATCAGCTTGTGTGCGGTGAAATCTGGGACGCCGATTTCTCCTTGACAAAATGCTTCGGAGGGTGACCTGGAGGCCCGGGATCTCGAGCCAGTCACTTCCCTCAAGATCTGTCGATGCCTTGCCGAGGATAATGCCAACCGAAGTCCCGACGAATGCAAGAATCTCCCGAGGAATGCATCCGAGGTCGACTAGGTCTATTTGAGTAGCTCGACATCGGCCTATGCATACGTCATAAAGCTAGCTGGTTGTCCCATCCCATTTCATTTTTTATGCAACGTATCTTGTATTAAGTTTGGGCTCCCCCCTCTTATAAAAGAGGAGTCGGTAACCCCCTGTAAGCAGAGCTCCAACCATTCTACTCAAGTGCAATACTCTCTCTCTCTCTCTCTCTCTCTCTCTATTCTCTCTAACTCGCTTGTTCTTATTCGCTCGAGACCATTTTATCGTTTCCTCATTTGTTCTTCATTTATTTCCTGATATTGATCATAGATAGCCTTGTATGATCATATCTTAACTGTTATTCCATCCCCGACTACCCCCGACACCTCGAACTCGAGCCAGATATTGACCCTGATAACTTGAGATCGGGCCGGGCATCGACCCCGAGGCCCCTCATAGACTAATCCTACACTCGGGAAGCAGGTTTCTCGGTTCGTTCAACTCCCCGTTTTAGCATGTATCCCCTTGGTAAACAAGCCCGGACAGTAAGCCTTTAGGCTTGGTTATCGCTCCATTTCTAGCTCGTATTTTGCCATAAACTTCATATTCTTAGCATCAACTGCTCTAAACAATTAGCATAAAAATAGATCATGTTTTTTTAGAATCTCATTTATAAATTTAATTGTTGTTACCATTTTTACAGTAAACAAGCTTCTTCTACTATTTTTCCTTTTCCAATGACTTCTGCAAGCTCAGTTTGTGTTTTTTTCATTATTTCAGGTTGTCTAATTATTTCTGGCATTGCCCATCCTAATGTGCTTGTGGTTGTCTCAGNCAAGCACATAATGTTTTCTTAACTATTTCTTGTATAACTATGGTGTCCGGATCAGTTTGCGGGTAACTCGACTAATTCCACGAGTATCTGCTACCTTCGCCAGTACAAGTATGAGGGGTCATGTTTTCTTAACCATGCATCGGGTACAACTACCATTCTACCAATATACAAGATAAAACTATATATGGAGTATGTTTAAATTTAAAAAAAAATATTGACAGTCTAATCCAGCTATTCAATGATCCCTACGAAGATGGTACAGGTTCTAGTATTTTAAACTTTACTTCGCTATATACCATAAACCTACATTCTTTATGTTTCGAACTTCTAGGATAGTCACATGTATATTTTCTAGAACTTTTCAAATTTCTATTTTTTTCAATTATCAATCAAGTAAAACTATATTATGCCCATTTCAGCTCATTACTTGGCTGGTCAACAAATTTAAGGCATGAAATTGAAGAAAGATGTAAATATAATCCCTCCACTTAACCATAGGTCTCTGGTTGGAGCTTGAGAATATAAGAATCCTGGTAGGAATCACTCCTAATATGAATACAAGACACATGAAAGGAAAATAAAATATAAATGAGAAGAGAACGAACCAGGAACATGGACATGATGTGATTGTGATTGATCTCTTTAGGGTTTTCTTCGCTGATTTTGAGAAATTCTTCTAAAACATCAGTCTTTGCACTGCTAAATCTACTCTTTTCCTCCAATCGCTCGTTGATCAAACCATCAAAAAGTTTAACTAATTTACCAAAATGAAATGTTACATGACGCCTTATCCCTTGGGGATCAATCTTTTCAAGTATAGGGAAAATGTCTACTAGGTTAGGCTTCCCAACGTCAGCCATAGTGTTCCAAATCACATCCTTCAACTCAACCTTTAAATCCAAAAAACATAGTTAATGCATCCAGTCGCAAGCCAGAAATTTCTCTAAGGATGTTCAAACTTAAAAGAAGTGAAATTTTTTATTCAATAAATATATGTTATATATCTTTAAAATATAATATTGTATTTATATACATAATGTAATTTTTTGACGAATGGTGGTCAGTTTTGACCGCCCTTAATAGTTTGTAGCTTCGCCCCTGAATGTGCCGTTTAGTACACATAAAGTCAAAAAGAGGGGTCGAGTTATTACAAGTTATTGATCAGAATTACCTTTGAATCCGAAAAAGGGTCACCCAAGTCCTTGGAGAAAAGGGTATTGGACATCAAATTGAGACTAGTCTTGAAAGCAACTTGACCTATATCCACAACTTCACCTTCTTGACTACATTTTGCACAATAAGCAAGAAATTCTTTCACCTTTTGAGATCTTAAATGTTGATTTGCATCAAGCCTATTGGAAGAGAGGAGGTTGGTGTTCAAGATTCGTCGAAGCGTTCGCCATTGAGGACAAACAGGAAGCCATGCCACAAAAAATTTGTAATGGTTATGAGCTTGTAGGTAGGATTAAATCTAGTTGAAAATGCTTGATCTTGATTTTTAAGGACTTGTTTTGCCATGGTTGGAAAAGAAATGACAATAGTAGTAATTTGGCCAAGTTTTAAACTCATAATTGGACCATAGATTTTTGCAAGATTGGCTAGTGATATATGAGGTTTTTGACCTAATAAGTGAAGGTTTCCAATAATTGGCCATGGTGTTGGCCCTGGTAGAAGTTTTTTGCTGCATTTTCTGAGTATTTTTGATAGAATATAAAGAAAACTCAAGGCAAAAATTGATCCCAACACAAGTGTATAGTAATCCATTATGCCCCTCTCACAGTACCCTTTCTTCAACTTTGAAAAATGAAAAGATGCTTTAATTTCCTCTTCTGTGTGTAATAACCTAGAGGTGTGTGTGTTTGATTTGGATCGTGCATTTAANAGAAGTTTTTTGCTGCATATTATGGCTAGAATATAAAGAAAACTCAAGGCAAAAATTGATCCTAACACAAGGGTATAGTAATCCATTATGCCCCTCTCACACCCTTTCTTCAACTTTGAAAAATGGAAAGATGCTTTAAGTTCCTCTTCTGTCAGTCACAAAGTAGAGTGTGTGTTTGATTTGGATCGTGCATTTAATAATCAGAAAACTGAAAATGGACAAGTCAGTCACCATCCCCCGTTGCTAGCAACTTTTATACAATACATAACTACGTCTCAAATTATCTGTCATATTTCTACTTAAGAAATACTTAATTAGGAGGAGGGTTTGATTGTTTTATTCTTATTAATATCTTAAGATATAATCTCTATTCATTGAATATTTATTCTATTTAAGTGTTATCTCTATCTTCAGGACAATTATAATTAAGGGTAAAATGGGAAAAATATAATTTATTTTGGCTTGAACTTCTAAAATAATAACTAATTTGAGACAACTATTTTTAGAAAGCACAGCAAATAGTATGAGACGGAGGGAGTATTATTAAATAATAAAGGGAAAATGGTTAAAATTGCCCCTCTACTATTGTTTATTGGTTACTTGTGTCACCCGTTACACTTTTCGTCCATTCTTGTCCCTACCGTTAATGAAGTTTTAAAAATTACCCCTAACCCTAACGTTTTGACACTGTGGCACCTGACCTCCTCAATTTTTTCCATGTCAGCTTCTATGTCAGCCCTTTTCTTATTAAAATATTATCATCTTCTTCTCCCTCACACTCCCTCGCCTTCTCACCACCCAACCCATTTACCCCTTTCCCTCTATTTCTTCTACCCCTCTTCAACCACTGTCACAATGTAACACTACCATTTTCACCATCTCCACATTTGCTCATCCACACAGCCACCCTAAAAATCCCCAACTTGATTCGTTTAAATCACACACAAAAATGTTTCTCCTCAAAATCTTCACCGTTTAAAATATGCACAGTGCATCTCGTACTTTGGTATATGTTAGCATTGGTCGAAATTTAGATGAATCTACTGAAAGTGAAAAATTTCAGCACATATTTTCAATTAATGGGTTACTAAATGCTAGTATGTTATATGTGTATCCTATATATTGACACCATTTCAGACGCATAGATTATACATGTATGAAATTTGAGGGCAATTTTTAATTTTGAAGAAAAGAATCAAAGAGAAAATTCTTGCGGGACATGGCAGTATTAAGAGAATTTTTACAGAGTACATATCTGTACATTGAAATCATAGACAATAATTTTTGTGGTTGTTACTCTATCACCGACAAGATACTGGTGGTGGAGCTGCTTCTACCCCTTTTTCTTATGTTTGTAAGATCTATGTATGTGTGCGTGTTTTCCCCTGACTTTGGCATTTTGTCGAGCACTTGGCATGGTCGACTCTGCAGAATTTGTTTTCTTCAGATTCGAGAAGATTGGCCCGTTGTTGTTGTCGTTTGAGGTGTTAGGAGCAATCTCCTCATCAGCATAAATCATTTCGCATTGGTTTTGGTCGATTTGGACGGCCGGAACTCCATTTCCGGCCACCTGGTGCTCATCGGAGAGTTGCAGAGGTTTGGGGATGACGATTGGCATGGTGGAATGGCCTGAAATTTGGTGGAATAGTCTGGTACCACTCTTTCTCCGCTGAAGATTTTGAGACTTTTCCATCGGAGGTGATGGCTGCTCGGTTAGAGGCGGCGATGACGGCAATGATGTCGGTGGTGAAGGCTCTTGTTATTCGTTGAGCTCAACTGAAATGGGGTCTGTGGGGTTTTAACTTGGTGGGGTTTATTAATGACTTGACAGCTGACATGGCAGCTGACATGGCAGCTGACATAGAAAAAATTGAGGGGGTCAGCTGCCACAGTGTCAAAACGTTAGGGTTAGGGGTAATTTTTAAAACTTCATTAACGGTAGGAACAAAAATGGACGAAAAGTATAAGTGGTGGCACAAGTAACCAATAAACAATAGTAGAGGGGCAATTTTGACCCTTTGCCCAATAATAAATACCCCACCCTTTTGGTAACAGGATAAAATCATTAAAAACAACTAACTATAGTATTATATAGTTTTATCTTTCCAGAGATAATATTTCTGGTTAAATAATGCCTTGCGCCCACGGGCGGATTTAGAAGGGTGGAAGTCGGTTCGGATGAACTTTTTAATTTTTTTCGGAAGAATCACATTATATATATAGTGATTTGACTTGAAAATTCTTGCTCAGTTAAGAGAATTGCAGGTTTCATAAAGAAGGAAAAAAACATCGACTTATATTGAAATAATCAACAATGATTCTGAACTCAATTGTAAATTTTCAAGCCCCAAGAATATAGAGCGCGAATTTGTGAAAGTGACCTTGAGTTACCTATAATTGCAATTTGTGAAACTCATGATCATTTGCAAATTGAATTCCTCGCCTCACTCCAATTCTGTCTCTATGAGCCTTGTATGTTTGGGCTTTTAGTTGTTGACTCCACCCTCTCAAGTTGGTAGGGTCTTTACCTAAATAGCCGCGCTGATTACTTTTCCTAGTCGATATACATAGATTATATACAGAGGCGGACCTATGGTTATATATATATATATATATATATATATGTGTGTGTGTGTGTGTGTGTGTGTGTGTGTGTGTGTACCTTGAAAATAATTAATTTAAATTATTTGGCACCCTTAAGGTTAAAAGCCTTTAGGGTGCACTAATTGAACAGAATATTGTGCTCCCATCGCATTAAATTCCTGGGTTCGCCTCTGATTATGTACCAATTATATGTTGTTATGCATTGTTTTATGTCATCTATTTTTAGTTGAAGCGGTTGGATAAGCAGTTATGTTAATCTTTCGAGCAATTCTGGTCGCACTATGGTGGGAGTGTTAGTAATTGGTCCTGGTCGTAATTTTAGGGATCTTTACCTAAATAGCTGGTCAGATTTCTGTTTATTTTTTCTAGTCGGTATATGTAGATTTTAGACTGATTATATGCGGTCATACTTACATATTATACATGGAATATACATATATTATACATCTTTCGGGTATTTTATGTTTAATTTGTTTTATATTGGTTTTTTTAGGCAAAAAGGTAATGATGGAAAACACCAAGCAAAGAATTAGCCAGCTTATCAACTAGTGCCTCATTGATGTACTTTGTTTTATTAAGATTATTTTGTATTCTTGTAAAAAAAATGTGTGGCATACATTATAAAATTGACTAAGAACTTATAATGATACATGTATCTCGTTGTATATTGAGTTTCGTCAAAAAGACAAATAGTTTTTCTCTCTTCATGTCTCTTTCACACTATGCTAGTCATAATAGATTAATAGGAGCATGAGAAGAGTTCTGCATCCAAATGGTTGGGCTGTTTAAAGGGATATTTTAAAGGAGTAAATGCTTTCTTTATTATTTCATAATAGAAAGCAACGAAAATGGTGATTTGCTTGTCCGTTTTCAGTTTATTACCAAATAAAAAACCTCATTACTTATCTGTTTTACATGAGGTCTCAAGTCCAAATTTCATCAGAAGCAAAAACACTAAATGATTTATTTTCATCTATTCAAGCTTTAAAGGATAGAGTTACTCGATATATGTGTTGGTCGAAGGTACCAAGGTATCCCATAGATTTAGTTGGAGTACGTGCAACGATTATAAAAAAAGTTTCAATTATTTTACTATAGAGAAAATGGACTAACCAACCTAAGTTACTTGAGAGCCAGACAGCCAACTTTGACCCAAAAAGAAAAGAATTTTTGGGAGCACCTGGTATGTTTTATATTGCACAATTAGTAATAGTAGCATCTTCTTTTAATCAGGTAGAGCTGCAAAATTCTTACGCAGCATGGATTACTATATACTTTATGTGTTGGGATCAATTTTTACCTGCAGTTTGCTTTTTGTTCTACCAAAAATACACAGCAAAAAACTTCCACCAGGGCCAACACCATGGCCAATCATAGGAAACCTTCACTTATTAGGTGCAAAACCTCATAAATCACTAGCCAATCTTGCAAAAATCTATGGTCCAATCATGAGTTTAAAACTTGGCCAAATAACTACAATTGTCATTTCTTCATCAGCCATGGCAAAACAAGTCCTTCAGAAACAAGACTTAGCCTTTTCAACTAGATTTATTCCTGATGCACTTCAAGCACACAATCATTACAAATTCTCTGTGCCATGGCTTCCTGTCTGTACTCAATGGCGAACGCTTCGGCGAATCTTGAATACCAATATCCTATCTTACAATAGGCTTGATGCAAATCAACATTTAAGATCTCAAAAGGTGAAAGAATTGCTTGCTTATTGTGCAAAATGTTGTCAACAAGGTGAAGCTGTGGATGTAGGTCAAGTTGCTTTCAAGACTTCTCTCAATTTGTTATCAAACACCCTTTTCTCTAAGGACTTGGCTGACCCCTTTTCGGATTCAAAGGTAGAGCTGATCCTTCATTTTGAACTTTTGGAATCTTTATACAAATAGCCGGCATGATTCACTATTTACTTTTTTCAATCAGTATTAATTGTTTACTTTTCCTAGTCAGTATACATAGATTATACTAATTATACACGACTATATACATATTGTATATTTGCCGCTTTTTTGAGTTTAAGCGAGTTGGTAAGTAGCTATTTAGGTTAATTCTTCCTAACTTTTTGTTCGGCTGTTTCTCTCTCTTCGATTTTTGTATTACCATGTTGTTTTTTCTTTCGCTTCGATTTTTTTATTATCTTGCTAGTGTTATTTGCTTGCTGCTACAAGGGTCTATCAGAATCAGCCTCGATCTCTACCTTGAGATCTGTACCTTCTCATGGTAGAGGTAAAGGTTGTGTATACACTACCCTCCCCAAATCCTACTTGTGCAATTACACCGAGTTTATTGTTGTTTTGTGACTTTTTGTGCATAACAAACGGTTCATTGAATGTGCTATTAATTGCTATACTATTGATAAAAAAAATTATGACCCTTTTTTGGATACAAAGGTAGAGCTCAAGGAGGTGATTTGGAGCATCACGACTGAGGTTGGGAAGCCTAACCTAGTTGATTTTTTCCCCATATTTGAAAAGATTGATCCTCAAGGGATAAGGCGTCGCACAACTATTTGTTTTGGTAAGTTGTTTAAGCTTTTTGATGAGTTGATCAACGAGCGATTGAAGGAAAAGAGAAGAAATCGCGGTGAAAAGAGTGATGTTTTGGAAGCGCTCCTCGACATCAGTGCAAAAAATCCTGAAGAGATTGGTCAGAATCACATCAAGTCCATGTTCCTGGTACGTGCTCTTCTCTTTTATCCTGTGGACTATTAATATAAAAAATAAATGTGTATATAGTAAAAGATAGTTTATGATAGTTTCTTTTAGTAGCTGAGGTTATAAAATCAGAGGCGAACTAGGATTTGAAGGTCGTCGGCGCACTTTTGGATTTAACCAATATCTGCTTTGTAAATAGAGTGTCCACTACTAATATATCACTATTTCTAAAGACATATACATGTATACATAGAATTTTACTGAATTATACGGGTAATGGTGACCCCTCTCTGTATAGCATAGGTCCGCCTCTGGTTATTATATGTTCTGTTTTGCGCTACTTCCTCTGTGTGCATTGCCTTGTATTCACCAATCATATTGGAATGCAAATGTACATTTACAGGACCTATTTGGTGCGGGGACTGATACAACAACAAGCACATTGGAATGGGCAATGGCAGAAATGCTTAGACAACCTGAGATTATGAGAAAAGCACAAGTTGAGCTTGGAGAAGTCATTGGAAAAGGAAAAATAGTAGAAGAAGCTGATGTTTCCCAACTTCCTTACTTGCAATGCATTATCAAGGAAACCTTAAGAATGCACCCACCATTTCCGTTACTTGTCCCGCGAAAAGTGGAGCAAGACGTTGAACTGTGTGACTATATTATCCCGAAGGGCTCACAGGTACTAGTAAACGCGTGGGCCATTGGTCGAGATTCTACTTTTTGGAAGGACCCTTTAGTGTTTAGACCCGAGAGGTTTTGGAACTTGGATTTGGACATGCGAGGGAAAGATTTTGAATTGATTCCATTTGGTGCTGGTCGAAGAATATGCCCTGGCTTACCATTAGCATTAAGAATGGTTCAAGTAATGTTGGGTTCACTCTTGAATTCCTTCAATTGGAAGCTTGAAGTTGGCATCGAGGCACAAGAATTAAACATGGAGGAGAAATTTGGTATAACCTTAGCCAAAGCCCATCCTTTGCGAGCTATCCCATCCTTAGTGCCTGATTTGAAGGGTCATTAACATAATAGTCATAACGAAGGTGGGAAAATAAAGTAGTAGCATCGTAATCACATTACACCCTTGTGGTCCGGTCTTTTCTCGGACCCCGAGCATAACGGGAGCTTAGTGCACCGAGTTGTCTTTTTATCAGCCGCAATATTGGCTTTTTTGAAGATGTGTTGCACACATGTAGCCCTCCTAAATCATTAAGCAATGACCTGCATTTAGCAAGGATAAATAAATAGCATTTCTTTTTTATTAATATGTATATCATTGGATCACCGATAATAATCCTTTTTTGGAATTTGATATTTGATCGATCCACTTACTTCTATTTTGTTAATATTAGTAATCATTGTCGGAATTATGGTTCTTATTTATAATTATGAATAGGAAAAAATAAAGTAAGAGTTCAAAACTTTTTCGTGAAGTAGGCAGGACTATACAGGTAATCCTCACTATTATAGATTGATCTCATTAATAAAAGAGAATGAAAATTAGAAAATTATGATGATCAGAAGAGGAGATTTGTTTGTGCAATATCAGTACCCTCGTAAATGTAGATATTTACATAAGAGTGTAAAATAAATAACGTTAATTATCATATTTCTAAATGAGTAATAGTCTTAGTGCATTACTTTTGTGGAGTCTTTAAGTTAGAAGAGGAGCTCAGTTCTACTTAACTACATTTTTTAACAAGAGGCTCTTCAAATATTGTCAAAAATATGTTCTAGTTCGACCTCTTAAAGCAAAACCAGGAACCTAACCAGCATGTCAAACAAAGATACATGTCAAGCAGGGTTGTTCATTCGGATCGGATATCCGAAATCCGAACCAATTCATTCAATTTCGGATTTTTGATTTCGGATTGGATCGGATTTCAGATTGTGTTTTTCAAAATTTCGGATTTTGAATCGGATTCGGATTGGTATATTTTAATCCGATCCGATTCGAAATTCGAAATTATTAGGGCATGTATAAATACTACACTTTATTTTTGGATAGTCTGTATTTTTTTTACATCAACCTCTAAGTTATTACCTTTACAATTGCTAGATTTAGCTATATCGACATCACAGTACTCTCATAATTGCATAAACATGAATGTTTCTTAATGTATTGCCTCTTTTACAAAGAAAATATACATATTAGTTTAACTTTGAGGCATAATAATACTATCCGAAATCCGATCCCATCCGATCCAATCTTTAAAATCCGATCCTATCCGATATAATTCGAATCAGATTCGGATTGCATTTTCTAGAATCCGAAATCCAAAATTCGAATCCGAAATGTGCTAAATCCGATCCGATCTGATTCGTGCATAGCCCTTGTCACACCCTTTTTCTACCCCTCCAAAAGATAATGGGTGTTATGGATTGTGGGTTAAAGAGTTTTTTCCAATTAAAGTGACAAATTTGAAATAGGGATTATTTTGTTATTCAGAGTCGCCACTTGGAATTGATTTTTGGGTGTTCCAAGTCACCTTTTATTTGATCCCTATTCCAAGGAAAGTTTGACTCTTTTATTATTGATCTGCGAAAATAAAGTCCGAGTAAGGAATTCTGTTAACCTGGGAGAAGGTGTAAGGCATTCCCTGAGTCCCGTGGTTCTAGCACGATCGCTTTATTGACTATATTTGGCTTATACTATTTTTTGGATAACTTGTGTTTTATTGGTTCTCATCTTTTACCTATGTCCGCTTTATTGCTTGATTAAAATTATGAAGAAAAAAAAGTTATCTTGAAATAAGTTACGCGTTCTAATACTTATTTTGTTACATATCACAATTATGCCACGGAGACCATACACATAGCCATGATATTTAATTATTTAAAGCGCACCTAAATAAACTAGCGCACTTGAAGTATTTTCCTAAACTAATTTAAGATTATTATAAGGCCAAAAGTTAGCGCGTACGCACCGCAAGCAGGCTTGGATGAGGATATTAAGAGGCGTTTTTGGGAGGGGTTGGATGAGATTGTTCGTAGTATACCGCCTTCTGAGAGGTTATTCATAGGAGGAGATTTCAATGGTCATATTGGGTCATCTGCAGGTGGGTACACTGAGGTGCATGGCGGCTTTGGTTTCAGGGAGCGGAACGGAGGGGGCATTTCGCTGTTGGACTTTGCCAAGGCTTTCGATCTAGTCATTACGAACTCGAATTTTATGAAGCGGGATGAACATTTGGTTACTTACCAAAGTTCGGTGGCGAAGACTCAGATTGACTATCTCCTCCTCAGGAGATGCGACAGAAGGTTGTGC